AAGTCAAACATTTTGACTAAAATTTCACAAAAAAGTACTTAAAGGATAATAACTGAATCTTCGCAACAAAATATCAAAAACAAATTAGACATACTAATTCAAAATATAAATAAAACAACTTATCCCAAGTTAAAATACTGCTCAAATTTAAAATTACTAATTTCTTAATTTGGGAAATCTCTAATCTTCAAATATCTTCTCAAAATCTCCATTGTAATACAATAAACATTGCTTTGTGTTCTCACATTTTTTTATTGAGAAAATGAACATTCAGCATCTATGCTGGTAACAAGCATCCACATGACCTTATTGGCAATCTGTTCCAAAAGAGGAAATCTGCTCTTATTTGCATTCCAAAAAAGGATTTGGTAAATCATCTTGCTAATTCACATACATTTGGAATTCTTCAAGATCAATAACAAGACATTGCAAGTCCTTGATGGCTGCAAAACTGTCTAAATCATGGCCTATACAGGCTAGCTGTCTGGGATCAAACAGGTGAGCTGCCTTGTAAAAATTATACACAGGGTGGGTATCCAGGTATTTATTCAATTTTGAAAAAGATGTGCTGAAAAAATCTTGGAAATTTGAGATAATCTCTCCCTCTCTGTGTTTTCTAGTTCAGGCAGAAGGCGATCAGTTTCTAGGCCAAATATTAATTTTGATGTACCAGTATGCAAGTGGAGACTTAGTTTCTTCTTACTTTGTCAAAGCTGTAATTAAACAAGTGCAGTTCTCATTTATAAAATTCTGATTTAGGTGCAAATTATGGTAAAAGTCATGATGTAGTCAACCATCATCTACTAATTCTAGAATCCTATCTACTGCAAGGCCATGGCTCTTTTCTTACTTATGAGTGATATTTGGCTGCATTAAACCCGGAATTTTATCTGGTTGCCACTGGTACATGGAGTAGTTTCATTTGTTCCTTAAGCAAGGAACCTTCAGGTCATTTTAAGTATCACTTTTTAAAAAAGAGTGACTTGATGAAAATGAGCTGGGTAACATTATCAAATGCTGGCCAGTTCAAAAATACTTCATCAACAAGATTTAAAATATATTCTAAGCACAACACATGGCAACTGTTAACAAAAACAACACTTCCTTATGAGCTTATTTGCAGAATCTGTTACAAAGGCAATAATATCCTAAAATGCATTAGCTGCATGAGTTACTGCTCAGATGCATGTCTGACTTACAGTTCGATGATTGCATTCTCACAAGGTTACAACATCAGTTAGAAATGACTCCCCATGAATGCTTGCAACTACATTCTAAATGCTGTGGTCACAACAATCAGTTGTTTTGTCTCTTATGATGCTGACCAATTGATTAGCAAGCTTGGCTTTTAGGGCAGCAAAGTGACAAGCAAACCATTTTGGTAGATGAAGCTGCCTAACACAATTGACACTTAGAATAAGCACCACCTTCTTTACAGTGTTTTAATATGAATGACCTCATTTTGTCAAATATGTGTAGGGGAATGTTGGGCAAAGTGCACATTTTCAAAAAATTAACGACAAAATCATCTTGTACCCTTTTACTCTTCAACGGTTTCAGTTGAGCCAAATTTTTGTCAAATGAGTTTTTGATTTGATGTGATCTTTGATTGTGTCAATCCTAAAAATGTCAGCAGTATGGAGACAGGATTTGCAAAATAAATTATTTTCTTCTGCATAAAAGTCATCAGGAAATTGCTCTACTCTGGCTTTAGCACAAATTTTAGATACTGAGGTCACTTTCTTTTTTCTTTTTTTTTTTTTTTTCTGAGAGAAGCAGGCCCAACTTTTGAGGTTGATTCTCTATAATGACTTCATTCTGTCATCTTGCCAAGTTGTCGCCTATTCATACAACTGGTTTAGATTACAAAATATAAATAAAATATGAAAAAAATAATCATTGACAGTTAATGTTATTAAAGGATTTTTTGTTCAATTTAAATTTGATTACAATTATGAAGCACTGAAGATGATGCAATTATTAATCCAGGAGAATCACTGTGTTACAGTAAGCTTAAACAAGCCAGTTGTTTCATAGAATGGTGTATTGGGAGAATTGTTTATCTTTATTTCTAAATTGTATGGTAGGCATGTGATAGCATTTAAAGGAAATGAATTTGTTAAACTTATTGGTTTGATCTTCATGTGTGTGTGTGTCTCTCTCTCCCCCCTCCAATTTTGACATCAACTAATGTCTGTCTTCATTTCCACTTTAGCAATGGATCTCTGTGGCCACGACCAAGCTATGACTGGCCACAACTGAGCTGTGACCTTCTGACTTCATCTTGTTTGCAACATACATTTTCTTAGAAAAGTTATAAAATATTTAAAAATAGACTAGCCAACATATTCTCAGAAAATCGACGACCCACTTTTATTTTTAATGTAAACATTTGTTCTTAATTATTTTTCAGGTTTTATAAGGATAATAACTACAAGGATTTGTAAAAACAAATTTTAAGGAAATAACTACCTTATGTTATTGTTATATTTATTAAAATGTTTAACAAAATCAGACTTTTATTAAGTTTTGAAAGAAATAAAAAACCATCTGAAAAAAAATAAATAATTAATTTGTTATTTATTATTGAAAATTACATTAAAAACTCAGATTCCTTTTAAAACTAATGATTCCGCATTTCCATGATCGCAGAAAATTTATTCCCCTATATATATATATTTATATATATTTTTTTTTTTAACACACAACGTGTGTTAGCACGTGCGATAACCTGTCTTCATCAGCCGCTGACCAGGGGTGATATCACGGTTTCGGTGGCTATGGCAGGACCGCCACCCCTGGCGCCACCAGCAGCGTTTGCCACCAGGCAGGGTATGAAGATATGCTAATTAATCGTTCCTTTAAGTAAAATCTATCTGCAATAAAAGTTTCTTGAACACGTTTGCCGTTATTGACGCACTCGTAAAAATCGTTATAGACGACCACACAAATATCTCACTTGCGCATGTTAATAAATATACATACATTTTGGTGTGCGACTTAAGTTTCACTGGTTTTCAACCTCATCGGGCACAAAGTATATCTTATGTTTTTATGAAAATACACAGATGTCACATGGGATAAATGCTACTTCATAGCCCAAAAATAAAATAGTACAAAAGATGTATGAAATAAAGTGCAGCTAGGACTCATTTTTTTAAAAAAAAGAGAACATTTTAAAAAATAAAACTAAATAAAAATTTAAAATTTACTGGAGATCTGGTCTAATTCTGATATAGTAACGCTTGACGGGTTAAAGGGATATAAGCGGGTATGGACCCTAAGGCTTAATAAAAGAAAAGTATATAATAAAAAAGAGGAATTTAATCTGGCTTCCAGTATTTTAAAAGAAATGATTTTCTTTGCCTATAGGTTATCATGAGTTTGTTCCACTTATTAAGTAGACTTACATTGCTAATATTTTTGAGGATGAATTTTTTTTTCCAATAGGCATAGGTTTCATCACCCCCACTGCCAAAAAATGGCTTGGTTTGAGCTACAAATTCCCAATTTACGTGAGGTATGTAGGCATCTGTTTGATACTTCAGTAAAATTTACAGAGTGCTATCACATTTGCATATTTTTTTGTTGCTAAGGTTCATTTTGTCTAACTATTAGTGGTAGATCCAAAATTAAATTTAATGTGGTCATTGTGCTTGACACTAGCCTTATAGATAACTTCTTTATATAGACATTTATTGTTCATGGGATAGAGGGTACTTTTATGACAATTACATTTTTGATCATCAGGGCTACCATTGTTACTTGTGCTGCTTAAGTATTTGTTAAGGGTTACACTATTATCTTGGGCTAAATATTGTTCAAGGTTTTTTTTGTTTTTCTGAGTAAGGGATTATGACTGCAATGTTTGTGTACTAACCTAAGAAAGATTCTACCAATGTTGGTCCTGACATTACTGTTGAAGGGCGGATTGAACTAATAATTGGTATTCGCACTTGTGTTAGGGATGTACTTTAGTTCAACATTATGCTTACTTCTATTTAATGCATCAATGTATTTGGTTTTATATTTGTCAAAGATGTGTTTACTGCTGGAATTAGTGTTGAAAGCCTATGCTGCACAGGTTTATGGAGGTTATTAAGGATACATGGTGGGTGGTTAGATTCTTTACTGATATATGTATGATTATAAACTTCCATATAAGTCATGTACACTCTTCTGGATAGATCGAACATAGCATCTAGGAAATTGATCACCTTGATGTTCTCGTATATATATATATATATATATATATATATATATATATATAAAAGCTAAATATCATAAATTCATATTTAATTAGAATTTTTCAACAAAGGTTCTATCATTATCACTAAACCACTTCCAACAATTTTCAAGCTTTATAATAAGATTTTATGATGATAGGACACTGCACATTTACAACAGATCACAATGAGCCTCTCCTTGAAAGCAATATTTAATGTTTGATATAATCAATAGAATTATTGGTAACCACATAAAGTGGACCACATGAATGCATTCCCACCAAATATTACCAAAACTTTCCTTGAATGGTAGACTATTTTAGGTTGTATTTGTTCACTTCCACAAAAAATCAGTGTCTCTATTATATTTTTGTAAAATATCCATTACTAGTTACTAATTTATGCAAAAACTAATGTGATACCTTTGAGAATACCAGGGAAGTATTGGTGCTCATTCATGCTTTATAGTTGGTTTTGTCAAATCCTGAGAAACCCATTTTTCAACTTTAAGCACTTCATGAATTCAGTCTTTGAGCTAATTCTTCAATTGTAACATCACTATTTCTGTAGAGTTCATATGAAAGCTGGTCATCATTCAATGCAACAAGAATACCTGCTCATAGTGCCTCTTTTAAGCTAAAGTTTTTCTAAACATTTCAAACCATCTTAGCAATTTCTTTTCATTTAAATAATCTAACATGTAAACACAATGAATATTTTTGGTTGCTTCTGCAGAACTGTTGCCTTTTTTAACATTATAATCTCCTATTTCAGAGCTCTTACTCCAAATTCAAAGAACTTGATGAGAGAATTAACTTTGTAGCCACCAAGGTCGTCCACTTAGGGGACCAGTTGGAAGGGGTCAACACTCCCAGAGCATGTGCAGTTGAGGCCCAGAGATTGATGAACTATTTTTCTGAATTCCTTTCTGATGAACCTCTCAAGTGCACAATATTCACTGACTCTTGCCAAGTAAGTTAACATTTTTCTTTCACTTCCTAAAATTCAATGTATTAATTAGAATCAATTTTCATATGCTCAAGTCAAAAAATGCAACAATCTTAAACTACTTTCTGTTTACTCATCTCTGACTTTTTGGTTCAAAAACAATTATAAAAGCAAACAACATAAAATTATGACAGGACCAGAGTGGTGGCAAAAACACTTAAATTCAAATATTTTCTTTGCCAGAAGTTTAATGTTTTTATTTTTCTTATAACCAATTTAAAGCTATTAAATTTTACCCTATGCTAACTCTGAATTTAATATCAAGTGAAAAGAATTATCATTTGAACAAATTTTTGGTAGACTTTTAGCCTGTGACTGTGTTGTTTAAAAACATTTATTTTCTTACATTTTTAGTTCTTTTTTTTTTTTTTTTAAGTTATAACTTATTTCTTATTCTAAAAACCTTATTTTCTTCAGCTTCAATTAGCTGCTGACATAATCCAAAAGTTGCACCTTATTGCCCAAGAATTACCAAGTGGACAGAAGTAAGCTATACATTCTCATCCTCACATCTCTCCTATGTACATAAAACTTATTACAGTTTTTGTATATAGCTGTATACTTGTAAAAAAAGATCAGATAAAGCTTGAACATAAAGAGAACATGACTGTTGTTATTGTTAATTTGTTTTGTATTTGCTTTCATCATAATTTTTAGTTACTTTTTATTATAACTTTATTAAGATCATCAGTCTACAAAAATGAATAGTCACAAATCAAAAATAAAAAATGGTCTCAAGTCCCCTTTGCTTCAAGGGAGCATGATTCAATACACCAGCTATTTTGAATGACTAAGCTTGTAAAGATCCAATCTAATCTTTTTAAACCATTTTTCATTCCATGTTCTCTGCACCATATTTTCTTTTGTTTTTACACTAGTAGTAGCAGCAGCAATATTGTTTTGTAGCTTTTATTAGATGAAACATTGTTAATAGTATTTACTTTCATCTTATTGTTACGTTTTTATTTTTATTACAAATCTACTCATGCCATCCTTCTACAGCAGTGAGACGACAACACAGACTGAAGAGATTCAAATTCATATTCCTTTTACTTCTACTAATTATTTAGAGATGCTTGATAAAATGCAAAGAAGAATCTACAATGTTATCAGTCCTGACCTGGCATTTCAACTTCAGTCACTTTCCCACCACCATAACATAGCTTCCCTGTACTTTTTCTATAAGTATTTTCACAGTAATTTTTCCATGGTACCTAGACTTGAAAATTAGAATTTAAGTGTACTACTAGATTGGCAGCAAGATCTCATCGTCTTACTGTTGAAATGGCTAAATGTAACCGTAAATTCTATGCTAACAGTTTCTTCTCTCATATTTCTCACTTGTGGAACTCTCTATTGGATTAAACTTTAAAATGTAAAAAACAAGAATATCTCTTTAATCTTAGATATTCTACTTGACATTGTCTTGTGAAATATGATTATCATATCCTAATCAGGGAGGGGTTTTCCATCTCCAGCTCTCACTTTCCCCAGCTAAAAAAAAAAATAAAATATGATGCTTTATCATTTGATCAGGTTTGAGGAAGCAGATTGTGTTAAGAACATTTCTACACCCCTACCTCATTTTAAAATGATGAAATCCGTACATATTACCTATCAAGAATGGAAGAACTTGAAATAAATCTATTTTTCAATTTTAATCACTGATTAGAGTTTCATATTTATTTTTAGATTTGACACGGCCAGACAAAGAATTTCAGGTTAGTATTTTTTTTAACATTCTCTGTAATTTCTTTTTATTCTTTGTAATTAAAATACAAAAGCAAAATAAATTCTAATATGAGAAAACCATACATCAATTCAAATGAAAATGTCAGAAGTTGCCAGGTTACCCTGACCCCTGAGATTTTTATTACATATACAAATACGGTATGTTTGTATATGAGAATTAAAATAGTTACATGTGTGACGCAGGATTATGCCAGAATCTGCTTTTGATTTAGTTGCTCACCAGGCTATCAAGGAAGCCAAGTGTACGAATTACACCCTGGGATTCACCCATTGTCAGTAATAACCCTTAGAGGTGAACACTTATAGGCAAAGCTGCATCTGATATGTACATACATGAGAAAAATAATTGGATAGATGGATATATAAACAAACTCTCTAGAAAGGAGCTGGGTAGTCTGTTATTGCAGAAAAGAGCATGAGGTTGCACCCCACACACTGTCCAAGAGTAATTGACAAATTCAGAAGTGGAATAAAATGTAATGTTAAATATGAAAGATTCAAGTCTCTTGATGTTCATGAGTACTTACATGTTATGTGATTGGCACACCCACTTCATTACATAGTCAAATAGTAAAATCATTTTTTTTTTTTTTGTTACTCTTAAAACATTCTAAGTGACTCAAGTAAATCAGTTGGTGCCATGTCATTCAATTTGTTTAGTTGTATTTGATCGACTTTTGGTTTTTGTCATTGTTATAGCCAGTATTACTTCCTCCTACTTGTACATATTCCATGGGCAGACCAATCCAACAAAATCTAATAATTCTATTTCAGATAAATATAACCAAGTAGAAAATGAACTGATTGAAGAATTTAAAAATGCTCACCAAAAAAATGAGAAAACTAAAATGAGACGAGTTGCTTCAGTGCTTCAAAACTTCAAAGTAAGTTTGCTTTCTTTTTCTTTCTTTGATGGAGTAGTGAAACACCCAAGCCTTGATGTCCTATTTACTTATTTATTCCACTTTTCTTCTAATCATAAATAAACAGGTCAACACTGGAGTAAGACCAGTGATTTCCATGCATAGTCAAGAAATAACTTGTTCACTTAATATATTTGTAAACTCACAATTTCATCTCAGGTTAGTTGAAATATACCTAAGTTATTATTTACATGCAGACTATTGTCCTCATCTTAGTTGTTCTCACCTTTCACAGCTGTTATGTCCACCAGCTTTCATCAGATGTATGTCAATCCGGATAACCTACAAGGAATTTCAAACTGAGCCTTTTATTTAATATACATAGGTAGATTGTTCTTGCTCCACTGCCCATGACTAGGGATATCTTGTCTAGTTCTTATTTAGTACTATTCGCTTATTGCTTGCCCCGTTTTCCTACTGAGTTCAAACACACTCACAATTACGATGTCACCAAATTCATGTATCAACACTTTAATCCACTAGGACAATTCTTTAAGATGTCTAACTCTCCAGTTTTCTTGCTTGTATATTGTTTTTACTTCATTACACAGAGGCTGATAGCTACCTTTTCTCTCCATACATGATCAGCCATGATTTCATTATCTCTATCCTCAATACAGCATTTTGATTTTCCACCAACCTTACTTGTAAGGGTGACTTGTGTCACCTTTATATTCTTTGCCACAACTGCAAGGAATGGAGTACATACAGTTCTTAGTCATGTTCTCTCTCTCTCTCCCCGCCCTGTCAACTTGGCAAAGATTTCTCCATAGAGTGGAGCTGTTTTTGAATATTGTTCTGATGTTGTATGGACTACAGATCTTCTGAATCTTTTACAATAATCTCTTGACATACGGCAGACAGACCATGGCAATTTTTCTGGTACTCCTCCTTCCATTTCCACCTGCTGACACTGATGTTATTTATGCAGGGTAGTTGTTATTCTGAAGGGTGTGTTTGATGCTGATCATTTTCTGTTGGAATGTATCTAGATTGCCATTTATGATTTTTGCATGGTGTTGCCGGCATCAAGCAATACCATTCCTCACACTGTATGGATGGTGGGAATTGAAAATGAGGTAATTTCCAGTGAAGAGTGGCTTGTGATATACAGATGACTTGAACCCATCCTCTGTGCAAGTTATTAATACATCCAGGAAAGCTAGCTGATCATTATTTTCTTCTTCCATTGGGAACTGGATTGAAAGTGTTATTGAGTTCATATGGTTACCTGAATCAACATACACCTAATGAAGATTGGAGGGTACAGCAACCAAAATGTTGTGATGAGGACAACAGTCAGCATGTAAATAATGCTTAACTTTTTATTTTATTTTATTTATATGCCTTATATTAACTTAATATTTAATCAATAATTCTTCAAGCATAAGATTACCTGAATACCTGTAATAATATATGTAGTAACAATATAGTGGTTATTATGTTAGTCTTGCAAGATATTAGGAATAAATTTTGTCCCCTTTTCTGTATCAAAGAATCATTTTCTTTTAGTTTTATCTCCACCTAATCTTATTGCTTTTTTTGAAGAGTTATTACTTTTTTTTGAAGAGTTTTGTCTTTTGTTCTTTTTGTTTCAAGCAGGTGAACTCATTCCATGCTAAATCACTTTGCATTTTTTGATTCATTGTCTTTAATTTTTCAGAGTTATGGTAAATGCATTGATTCTTTTATTGAAGAGACGCAAAAGGTAATTTCTTTCTGATTAGTGCTTTATTAACTACCAGCAAAACTCCTGCATCATACAATATGTATTAAAGCACACATTATCTAAATTTCATTAAATATTTTCACCATGTTTTCAGTTTTAACTTTTCATATCTACTTATTCATATATTGTTTATAAATAAGATTCAATAAAGTCTTTTATTTTATGAGCTCCTGTAATTGCTTGCTCAAAACAAAACATTGATTTCAGTTATTGTCTTGAAATTCACAAAATTTAATCATTTTAACTTCAACTAAAATATTTTCTAGTTTAGTACATCTTTTTTTAAGTTTTCTTTACAAACATTTCTTCATTTATTTACATAAATTATTTACAATATTCTCAGAAATTCCCTTAATGTTCTTATTTGTTTTTATTCTCTTTTTACAAAAAGGGTTCCTTCACTTCTGATAACATTTTCAATGAAGTCCTACCATTGTGTGACCGAACCAATGAACTGATTATCAGTGTCTTCACCAACCCTGAGAGTGTAATGGGAAAACTAGTGCAGAGAATATATCTCGGCCCACTAAAGGTGAGACATTTTTGTGGTGGTGTGCCAGAAAACTACTGATACACTAATGCAATGGCTTTAATTCTAGAATGGTATGTGTTGTCTGGTGTAATGTGTCAATTTGTTTTAATTTCAAAATGATATTGCCTTATAGTTTCAGGGAACTTAAATTTGGTTGCTCCCATTTTCTGTAATCATTTTTACATGATATCATAAAAATCTACCATTTAAGCCATCTTGCATTTTTTAAATATCCTTTTGTTTGAGGACCTGCAGATTTAACAAAACAACAGAAAACTATGGAAAACAACCTCATGGACTTGAACACCCTGACTTACAAATTTGTAATGACCAATTTGGCTTACAATAATTCAAAACTTTCAATAACAGAGCTTTAATTAAGAAGCAAACTGATGTCATATAACCATATTGTCTGATATAATTGTTAATTAATCATAAAACCAATCAATAAATAAATAATACAGTTAAACCCGAAACTTATTATTTATTAATGCTTCATTAGATGAGCATTAGTTGATTTGTCATAAAACTACATCATCCAGTAGTAATATTACCTTGACTATTTGGATGTGCAAGTGGCATAATGGATAGATGAAGGAGAAATCAGAGAGCAAAGTTTGAATTTCAATCAACTTCATTACATTCACTTAAGCACATATACCCTTGGGAAAGTTATGAATCCAACTCTTCTCCACCCCAGCAGGGTAGACTGATTTCTTTAGTCATGGTTGGCAACCAGTCTAAGAGGATAACTGTGAATTCAAAACCATGATGACCAAATCACAGGTTAAACTTTAGCGAGGCATAGCACCTGGAAGCCACCTCTGCCATTGGCAGCAGGTATATGTGGCCAATGACAAAATCTCAGAGACTAAATTTGTGGCATTGAACTGCAATGGTGTCATGCAAAAAAAGATCCTTCATGCTAGAAAATAGATGAGACTTTATTATTTTTAGTTGGATGGAAACTGCAGAAACACATGAAATTGTGTCTGATGATATGTGCAACTGAAATATCTATGATGATACATGGAGTTAGGGCAGGGCATCTCAATGGATAACCTAGTTAAGTATTTTATTATATGAAGCATTGTCAACCATTATTAATTTTTTGTTAGTATTTAATTCATCTTAATTTCAATTGCAATTTATTACAGCCACTCACATCATGTATCTATGACCTTTAGTAAACAGTGTAGATTAGAAATAAGCAAGACCTGCATTCCATTTGTCAACAGAAACCACTTTTATAATGACAAAAGCTCTACCACTTAAGTTACTAGAACATAAACTTCCATTTTTACATTTCTGGTGCAAATCAAAATAACAACTACTGCAATACTAAATAATATTATATGGTTTCACTAGATCTTCTGCTGGCCATAGAGCTTTTGTAGGACAAGCAGTAGAACAGCCATTGTGAAAAAATGGCAAGAGACTGAGAGATTATTCCTTATTTCTGATCTGCACTGTTTCATTACTATAAACTGATTGACTTGGTAGTTGTAATGAAAAACAATTAAGATGAAATACCAGATAAATATCCAATATCTGTATTTTGAATTGTTAAATTCTCAGAATCTTCTTGAAAAATCTGCTTTGTTATTGATTGACCATTATAAGAATTAATGCACTTTCAAACTTTATTTGTACTTTGTGTGTATTTCATGATTTTTGCCAATTTTAAATAAATAATTAAAATGTTGATTTCTTATTTTTAGGACCATATTTCAATGAAACTGGAAGGACAATCTGACCCCGAGAAGTATCTTACCAATCTATATGATTTATACACAAGGTGGGATTGCAATTTTTTTTATCTTTGATATTAGTTTTCTAGTCAAGAAGATATTCTTATTTTAATGTGTTTCTTATTGATTTCCACACTGATGTCACTGGACATATGTGCAATGTTATTTCCAGTCACTAACCAGGTCAGTGATTTTTCTTCTCAGGGCGCACCAGTGTGACATGGCACACTGGTGTGCTGCAAAAAGGTCATTAATTGAACTATTTTCAAAAGTACAAAACACAATAAGTGTACATATCAAAATTAAAGCCCCTTTAAATTGATTATATATGTATATCATTGTTATAATAAATAAAATTATACATAATATATACAATAATATAAAAAGCCATCTTTTCTGCAATAAATAATATTAAAAGCAAAAATTGATCACAGCTAGAATCCTTGGAAGAAGATTTAAGAGTATGTCTGTCCAAAATTCAATCTTGCAAAGATATTCTAAAAAACCTCATGCTCTGATATCTCATTAAATATTAAATTATAACTTCAAGAAAACTATGGTCACCCCCTCATGTCCACACAAACATGTGTATACACAAAAGCTGAGTATCATCTACCATGTATTCAGTTGTGAAAGCAGAATAACATATCATATTTTTATTACTTCAAAACTCCAAATAAAATTAAATTTTGGCATTAAATGACCCATAAGGAGCTGATATGCTGTTAAACAAACCTTCCTAAGCAAGATTGCCATATGAGAAGAATTTGGTTCACCACTATGAACCAGAAGGCAAAAGAAAATAATGGTACCACCCAGACTTGCCCAGAAAGAAAAAGTCTATATCCATACACTCTGCAGGAAAAGTGATGGTCATTCTGTTTTCAGATTGTTAGGTTATATCCAATGGTATGATTATCAAGTCTGAATCCAATGTAATCACATTGTCAAAACTCAGAGCAAAGTATCTTTGAGCTAAGCTATATTTGAAGATAAATGATGTGCTTTTGCAACACTACAATGCAAGGCCTCAACATAAAGCTTAAAGACTATGCAAGCAATTGCATAACCTTGCCTCATCTACCTTGCAATTGTGACCTGGCATTATCACTTTCATTTGAAACCACTGTTATCCGAGTGCCTCCTTCATGGAGGCACTCGGATAACAGTGGTTCTCCAATGATGAAGAGGTTGAAGAAAGCAGCCAAGAAGCTTCTACACAGTCAAAGATGGAACACTACAATTGAGACGTGAGGTCTGTAAGTTTTGTGTTCATCTTGGCACACTTTATATGCTTCTATTATTAAATCTGTTATAATTAAAGAACAATCATTTTTTTTTTTTTACTGACCCTTGTATTGCTGCATAAAAATGGAAAACCCTCTTTTATTATTGAATTTAATACTATAAACATTATATATATATAAATTTGGTTGTGTGTGTATATATATATATATATATATATACACTACCACCAAATTTTGCCATAGTGTACTCATGGTTCCTTCTTTAAATTTGTCTTCAAAATGCATGACTGCTTTTCTGTATTCATTTTCCTTTCAATTCTACTTAAAGAATTTCATTAGATCATTCATTCTCAAATATAACTGGGCCTATAATCCTTGTTTATGAAAGCATTTTCTGCAATAATTAGCATAACATATGTTCTTAATTTTGCTTCTTATTTGCTTAAATTGACTAAATATTTCTAAAAAAAAAAAAATTGTATTCCATTTTATACACAATTCTTCAATAGGTGAAGCATATGGTGTAATCTTGACTTTCACTCCTTCAATCCAAAATTTCAACAAACCAGTACAATTGTTCTTGTTTATATAGTGAAATATTATTTATAGTCTTAATGTTGACATCTTTGTAGCCTCCTGTTTTTCTTTTTCTCTCTCTCTCTAGAACTGCCAAGTTATCAAATGATCTCTCCAAATTTAAACTTGGGAATGACAGTGCCTTCCTCAGTAAACAGACAAAGTGTATATTCCAGAGACATCTCGATGCATACATAAGGTAAGTTAAACCATACTTTTCAAAGCTTGAATCAGTGAATACATATTTAAAAAATATTTGAGTTAGAATTAATATCAACATTTATAGATTAAGTAAAAATGTAAAATTTGTTCACATTTAATGAGTGTTTTGTTTCATAAGTGTTGAATCCATGTTCAACAACAAACTGGGTTGTGTCTACAGCTAAACAAGTCAACAAGAGAAGCATAAAAAAGATTCTTGCCCAAGAGGTTGGCAACTAGAAAGATAAAAATAAAACATTTGGTCAGAATTCTCTTGAGTTTTAACAAAATTTTGATCTAAAAGAAATACTTATTCTAAGCTTCACCATGACTTGGTGATTTCTATGGATACATTTAATGCAATTATTTGGCTAACCACTTACTCTAATTACGTGAATGATTAGCTCTTCTTTTTAGTATTAAAAAATGGCAAATGCTCAATATTAGAGTTGAAAGAACTGATTTACATGCATGTGGCAAGAGAACCATATGAGATATTATTTTAGTGTTGACAAAGGAACAATTGTTTCTATAGAACTAAAATACCATAACTTATAATTCCATGTTTTGTTTCATAGCATGTGAAGCATTCCAAAAATAGATGTGTGGCAAAAATCTTTTTCTCCTTATTGTAATTGAAGTAACAAATACAAGAACAAATTTCTATCAGTGTGCAACATAGTTATTACTCTGTTAATCTCTGTATTGTTTTTGTTGCTCAACTGATGTTATGATCAATTCATAAGAATGTTTTGCCACCTCACCAGATTAGTTCAGTAATTTACAATGTAGGAATACAAAAGGCAATTATTTCCCTTTGGTTTTGATGAAGTCACATGACAGCTGCTTAGTGTTGTTACTTCATAGAGTGACGAAAGTGACTAGTCTGTCAGTCAGCTTCCAGGAGTCAAACCAAGCATTTACATTTTTAGTGCAGGCTGAAGCTAAATCTGTCTCACCTGGGCAAGCAACCAAAGGGTCAGCTCACAAGCCCATGTTGCTGTTTTTACCAGATATAAAAAAAAAATATCTCTGGCTTGATGTCCTCATGTTTGGAAATACCCACGATTCACTATTTTCTCATTTGGGAAATATATTCTTTCTAGTGACATAGAAGATAAATTCAGCCCACTCAAATCTCCATTGGAAAATATAAATATGGAGACAAAGATGAATTATCACAATTAAGACCCTATCTCTTTATCATTTTTAAACTTCTTGTTGTGATATACATGTGTTATAGTTTCTCTGCATGGGACAAATGTAAATGTTTCTATACAATTTTGTGTATGATATAGTGGTATAAAACTCTCTGAGAATGAAGAATGTTTGTAATTCCTTTTCTTTCAGCTATCCATCCATGTATTAAAGTGTTATATCATGTATATAATAATGCCCATATTGGATGGAGGATGTAAATGGAAGAATATTAAGAACCACCATTAACAATTTTAAATGTCAATGTGATTCTGATTATGTAGGTCAGCATGTACTGGTCAAAATGCAAAAAAGACAATGTGATAATTTGCATAAATATATCAACCTGTTAGAACTTACCTGTATCAAAGAAAATGTTCTATTTGAATGTTTTGGAAACAATATATATCAAGTTCCTACAGCTCTCTCTCTATAAGTAGAAGGGATGACATTTGGGGTTGAATGTTGTTTACCTTTGACATATTTTGTGACCATATTTTTTTTGTATTCCTCCCACACCATTTTAATGGTTGTTGGTGTGCACATTGTTTTTCCTTCAAAAGGATCAATAACTGAGTAGATTTTAATATTTTGCTAGGTTTTTATATATATATATATATATATATATATATATATATATATATAATTTACCACTTTATGGTAATTATATATTTTTCTTTTTTCCTTGCTATTCATTTCCTTGTCACATTATTTTTAATATGTCCATTTTTATTGCAAAATGAATGAAAGTACCATTTTATTTCTTATTATTTTTTTGTTTTAGTCATGAAATTAAATTTCTACATGACCGCTGTTCACTGATGTTACAAAGATACTATGATAGCAAGAATCACCAGAAGAAGCAGATACAGTCTGGCGGGTGAGCTGCTTTCCAAAAATAAATTTTCTTTTTTTTAATCTTCACTGAACTACTTATGATCTTGTACATAAATCTTTAATAAGAACATTATTAATAATGGCCATGATAAATTTCAATCATGTTAAAATATTTTTTGTCATTATATTGTGTAAATAGTTTTTTTCATCATATGAATCTTTGATGGATCAGTTAGCAGCAATTTAACTAATAATGATAGATTTAGTGCATATCTGTAGGAGTATAGGAAGTGATGGTGTACAGACTCCATAAACATCAACAAGTGCTTCTCATGTGTAGATCATAAACATTCAAACATGCTTCTCTTTGCCTCTTTTTTTGTTTGATTACCCGTTCCTCTCTCTCTCTCTTTCAGCATCCATGATCTAAAGAGAGAGTTTCAAGTTGTTATTGCAAATGTCAACTTCAATATAGGGCCTGCCATTGAAAATTACGGTGGAGAGATTTTCCTCTCCCAAGAAGTAGCAATGAATATTTTGCAAGAGACCAAACTAGCATTTAAACGATGTAAAGTTGTAAGTTGACTTTGACCAAGAATTTTTCACTCCTATTTTTTTTCTATGCTTTCCATTAATCAAATCCTGCATAATTTTATTTCTTGTTGCTTGAATGATTCTTTGAGGAATTAAATGCTTGTTTACTCATTATTATTATGAGCTCATCTTGAATTTGTTGTAAATATTGTTTTCTTTGATCACAGGAAACACTGATATCTGAAAATCACATGTGAGAATTTCAAATAAAATTTCTTTGCATTTTTGGTTGTGTAGATTGAAAAACTAGACTTGAATTTATGCAGCCTTTTGTGTTAAAAAAAATTGGATATTAAGCCTTAAACAATAGTAAAAGTTTGTATAAACATGCATGCCAAACACATAAAAAATGTGAAAATTATTTTTTAAGGGTTAGTTTTAATGCATATTTGGCTTTATATACAAAAACTATAAAAATGATATTTTAACTCACTTAGATTATGAAAATAAAGAAAAAACGGAAATGAGAACAAATGTTATTTTGGGAAGAGTTTTTTTATATAAAAATATTTCCTTCACCTTAACATGTTTTGAAAAAATAAAATGTTAAAAGAAATGGGTTTTGTTGTCAGAATATTTCTGATAAAAAACAAATTTTCTCCTTTTAAGGATAAAATTAAGTATAAATTAAGCAAATTACAACTTAGAATATAAATCTAGTTTTCTTCATCCTGCTATTTCTCAGATTTTGAGGTTTGACCATATCTAATCTCTAAATTGCCATTTTGAATAATTTTGATAAATTATTATTTTATTGTAGAATGGGAACTATAATAAATTATAAAATGCCTTTTCCTTTTATCCAGATTTCCAGCCAATCTGATTTGCCTTCAAATGCTGTGAGGATTCTTGAAACATTGATTCAATATCTTGTCATTGAACATATTGACTATGCCGTAGAACTAGGACTGCAAGGTGAGACTTCAACTCACTTCAAGCCAATGACTTCATTAATGTTTTTGTGTGAACCCACTTAATGTTCACACACACGCATTTCTGTACATTAAGCTGTATATTTTTAATTATTTCAGCTTTATAGATATGTTTATAAATTTAGGCACTAAGTTCAATTTCACACATATTTTTCTTTAAATGTGACAGACCAGGACTTCACACTAATGGTTATTTTTATTAAGGTTAAATGATTAAAAGTATCTGAGAGCCGTTATATTTAATGAAATGTTGAAGTTGAAATTCTTGCTTTGCTGACATCAAAACTAAAATATTTTCTCTTTTTATTTACCCCAACATAGAATAACTCCTTTCACTTTCCCTAAATCAAAATTAGAAATCAAATATTTTGTACCTTTCCTACCCTAATTCTTTTTGCAGTTTCAGTCCTTTATTTGATCAAAAATGAAAATGCTTGTTATACATCTCTGAATGCCATAAAGTTAATACTACTACTATATTATTATTATTATTAGTATAGTAGTGAGAAGATACTTCTGTAATTTCTAAGGATTTAATGGATTAAAAATCCATTAAATCCTTAGAAATTATAGAAATCCAACAATATTTTTTTTTATTATTAATACTATATACTTATATGTATTCAGCATTAGCAGTAATTTTCTAAATAGAGATATTGTAAAAGTCAGCCTGCAAATGAAGGGTTTTATCTGGACTTGATCCCTAACTTGTGCGAGAAACAAACTTGCTAACTCTAATTCGATGCACATTGTGGTGTAGTGGATAGTTCCTCAGAATAAGAAATCGGAGAGCCAAGTTTGAATTCCCGTCAAGTTTGTTACATTCACCTATGCACAGATACCCTTATGAATCCATCTCTTCTCCCTCCAGCTATGGGTTGAATAACAGGATAGACTAGATTCTATAGCCTTGGTTACCGCAGTAAGAAATGTTGTTTGAAAATCTTCTAGTTAGTCATGAATCAAAAGAGACATGATTGCCAAAGCGTGTATCACATATGGCATTTAACTGACTGACTGAACCCTAACTCTGCCCTGCTACAAAACCAACTCTTAATGAATACACCACCACTCATCTCTGCCTCTTTTCTTCTCTTCACATTGTAGTTTTTATTCCAATTCTTCTTTTCATAATATATATATATATATATATTTGTATATTTAGGCAGCAATCCTTCCTTTATACATGTTTCATTAAAAACAACAGACAAGGTACTATGGTTGAGGTTTTATTTAATTTTTCTTGTGTTCTGACAAGAGCTTTCTTTTCTGGACAAAGCTGATTACCAGCAAAAATTAAACGATATTGTCGATGACCGATCTAAATTCACCAAATTGAAAAGAAATCCCACTGAGACTTTAAAAAGGTCCGTTAACAAGCTAATAACAGCTCACAACGCAGAAGTCGGTTCCCTGAAAATTCAAAAAATAGTTGGAGATTACCAACCGGGATATCTATATGGAAACATAAAAACACATAAACCAGGATACCCGCTACGACCAATTATTTCCCAGATACCAACACCTATCTACGAGCTATCAAAATTCCTTAACGACATCATCACTCCATACCTACCTACTAATTACAGTATCACATCCACCCACGAATTCCTACAAATTTTAAAAAATAAAAAAGGAACAAATCAAGGTATAATAGCGTCACTGGACGTCGAAAACTTATTTACAAACGTCCCCGTCGACCAAACTATCGATATTATCCTCAACTCTGTATATAATAATAATTCCATCCCTCCGCCATCCCTCAAACCACCCATCCTAAAAAAATTACTACACGCATGCACAACCAAAGTCCCATTCTATGACCATAATGGCAATATTTGCACCCAAACTAATGGTGTTAGTATGGGAAATCCACTGGGTCCATGCTTCTCCAACTATTATATGTCCCACGAAAAAAATACTATGTTTACACAGGTCCACAAACCTAAAAAATCTATGTTCGCTTTAGATGATATCTTCATTTTAGCTGATAACATTAAAGAAATAGAGACACTTAAGACCACATTTGAGAAAAAACTCCGTCCTTAACTTTTTTATGAACTTAGCCAAAAAAAAACTACCATTCTTAGATATCCTCGTTGAACACAACAATAACACTTTCATTACATCATTATACAAAAACCCACCAGCAAAAAACTCGTAACCTTAATTTCAAAAAGAAAAATGCCCACTTAGGTACAAAATAGCTGTAATAAAAAACTTTCTAAATAGAGCCCACCAGAACTCATCCTCTCGACTACTCTTTCTCAAAGAACTTAACAATGTTAAAACAAACACTAATTAACAACGATTTCCCTAACTACCTTATAGACCAACAAATTAGACTATTCCTCCCCAAAGCAAGTAATAACGATAGCGAACACACAGCTAAAAATCACATGCACATTTATTACAAAAACCAAATGCATATTAATTACAAACAAGATGAATCTTCTCTAAGGCATATTATAAAGAAATATACTACTCCTATTGATCCGAATAAAAAAATCAAACTTATTATCTATTATAAAAAATTTAAGACAGCCAACCTTATCCTCAAAAATAACAACACACCAACTAAGTCAAAATTACAAAGAACGAACATTATCTATGAGTTCAAATGCCCTTTAAGGAATTACGTTCCTCACCAAAACCGACTCATAAATAATTACATCGGTTACACAACTACATGTTTATCCAGACGTCTTACATTACACCTATCTGATCACAGTTCCATCAGAACACATTTAAACACACACTCAGATTTTTACCCACACTATTAGGAACATACTAGTAGAAAAAAACAAATATATTAACTGCATCCACTTGCAAAAAAGACTAAAAATAATGGAAGCCCTAATAATAAAAAAAAAAAAAGCAACTCTTAACAATATTAACTATGAACAAAGCCACAATGTGCTAACCGTATTCGGAAAACTAAAACATCACTACCACTCACCTGAACATACACAGAACACACACACTCTACTAAGCTGATAATCGAATCATCCTTGATAATGGCTAAAGGTATAGCCGAAAGTGCTCGGAAATACAGAACATTTTCCTGTCAGTTCTTACACACTCTTTGTCCAGAAAAGAAAGCTTTTGTCAGAACACAAGAAAAATTAAATAAAAAAGCTCAACCGTAGTACCTTGTCTGTCGTTTTTAATGAAATATGCATATATATATATATATATATATATATATATATATATATATATATATATATATATATATATATTGGATTGATGTGATTAAACAAACATAGACATTTTCAATAACAAAAAAACACCATATGACAAACCACTAAAAGAGTGTGGATACACACAACAACTACAATATACGCCTCCACAACCAAAACACAAATGCAGAAAAAGAATCATTATCTGGTTTATCCCACCATACAACAAAATCGTCAAAACAAATATAGGAAGGACATTCATAAACATAATAGAAAAGCACTTCCCAGAAACAAACTGATTAGCAAAAATATTCAACAAATATAACGTTAAAATCAGTTACAGCTGCACAAAAAATATAACACAAATAATAAAAAGCCACAACAAAAAAGAAACAACTTGCAGTAATGCAACCAAGGAACCTCGACGCAACTGCAGAAATAAAACAACATGTCCACTCCAAGGAAATTGCCAAGAAACGAATATAATATAAAGTCAAGGTAAGTGCAAGCAACAGCACAATGTACTACATCGGTGCCACTGAGGGACCATTCAAGAAAAGAAAAAGCAACCACAACCTTTCATTCTCCAACAGAAAATACTCAAACAGCACTACACTATCCACATACATATGGCATCTGAAAGACCGAAATATTACACCAAGAATAAGCTGGAAAATATTAAAAAACTCACCTGCCTACAACAACATTACAAAGAAATGCCTAATTTACCTACACGAAAAGGTAGCAATAATTTCTCATACCCTACAAAAGAATTTACTAAATAGAAGATCAGAAATAATTTCTAAATACCTATTATCACAATTTATGCCAAACGGATAAAAAACAAAAATACCAACCAACACTACAACATAAACCACCATTGATCCTATTAACATGAAAAGAGAAACCACTGACAGCATAACACCATCAATTATTTTCTAGTTCAAGCTACCATCATAATAATTATAATTATTGTTATTATCATTCCACCACCATTACTATGATCACTTCTACCACTTTACAATAACTATTTGCTGCTACAATTGTTATTATCATCACCCGCTCCTCCCACCATTACTACCACATCACAATTACCATTGCCGCATTAGTCCACAATTACTATGGCACCAATGTTACCATTACCATATCAGTCCACAATTATACTTACAGCAAAATTAATACCACTGCATAAATACTAATAAGTAATACAAATTGGAGTTTCTACTCTTTATATATATGTGCAATTGCCAAAAACAAGCAGAGAAAGTAAACAAAGTACTATTTTTAATAAAAATACACTAAAATTAAGTTACAGCTGTACTGAAAACTTAGAAAAAAGCATTAAGAAACATAATGCTAATATCTTAAATAAATACTTAGACAAAAACCAAAGAAATTTAGACAAAATAAAAATAAATAAACAAAATTATGTAACTGTAGAAGCCCTCATAACTGTCCTCTACAAAATAAATGTCGCACAGAATCATTAGTATACCAATGCAATATCTCTGCTATTGAGAATCCCGAAAACGTAAAAATCTATATAGGTTGCACAAGCCATGAGTTCAAAAAGCATTTCAATCAACACCAAACTTCATTTAGGATAAATACAGAAATCAGACATCGCTTTCAAAGTATTTCTGGCACTTAAAAGAATCAAATAAAACACCTACAGTAAAATGGAAATTTATAAGAAAAGCTAGAATATGTAGGTCATTAAATGACCCATGTCCTTTGTGCATACATGAGAAACTATATATTACTAAGTTTATAAAAATTAAAATTTACTGAATCAGAGAAATGATTTTCTATTTTTTGCCATCATTGTCAAAAATTTTCCTTAAATTATATTTAAAAATAAAATTAAAAAATGGGAGCTGGTAATCTACATACTTATATTTGATATGAAAAAATAATTTTAAATAATGTAAGTAATTCTATTACATTTACTTGGTTTTAAAAAGAAATATAGTCTATTAGCAATTAAGAGTAAAAATATTTTAAAATTGTAGTTAAATAAAACGTATTCTAACACAAACACACCTAAAAAGAATCTTTAAGTATACAAGTAAGAAAAAAATGCCGGAAAACTTTTTGCCATTAATAAAAAAAAAAAAAAAAAACAGACGGCATGCATTTAATGGATGACAGAATTCATTGGAAAATACACACCTACCCTCCCTAAACTTAACTTCTTATTCAAACGTAACTCATAATTGATACAACAACTGTTATTAAAAATGAACATGCTACCAACCCTTGACTGAATGATTTGATTTCTCAGTAAATTATGAATTAAATGTGCATTTAAAACTCAGTAAATTTAAAAATAAGTTATTCCAATATTCGCTTGAAGATGAAACGGAACTAATGCTTTTAATTTAATTATATAATTTAAAGTTTTTAGCTTCCACTTTTGAAACATGGTTATTACTGTGTAGCGACAAGACCATATTTTCAATCAGTTAATTTATAATATTTATGCTCTGTAAATTTACATTGAGCACCATTTTATAAAAATAAAAAAAATATCAATAAGAACACTGGATTATATATCTTACTGTTCTTTCTTTTTTTTTTTATATATATATATATATATATATATATATATATATATATATATATATATATATATATTTTTTTTTTTTTTTTTTTTAATCTATTGCAGCCATTCCTCTGCCTGATGCTAAGACACCCCCAGAGATTTATTTCTTTGATGTGACTGGCCAGGCCAACACTTTGTTCCATCTTTTTGAGAAACAGTTCATGGATAGTCTGGTACCTTTAGTTTTGTAAGTCAAATACAATCTATTTTTTCTCACTTGTTTTCTTATTCCATTAAATTTTTAAAATATTATTTTTCTAACATATAGAATGAAATTAATTTTATTAAAAAAAGTGTTTGTGACTAAACAATATTCAAGTCTTAGAGAATTCAAGTGATTTCTTTTTTTTTTTTTTTTTTGCCTATTTTTAAGATGATATCAATGTAAAATTAAGAAAAATACACAGGGTTAAAAAGAAACAAAGACTACAGAAGTATATTTCTATATATCAAGCTCAGGGAGATGATAATTTGTCAAGAATCAAAGAAGTAGATCATCTGTGTTGAATAAACTCAGTTCTTTAAAATTGATAATAGAATTTATTTTATTTACTATTATTGAAGATAAAAAAACAAGATAAGTAACAATTGTGTATTTTATTTTCATGAAGAGGTTTAAATGAAAATTAGGTGCAATTCAAGGGATCTTGTCCTCAGAAGAGAATAGGAAAGTGTTTGTTCTATTGTTTGAATGTTTCTTTATAAATTTTTTTTTGTGGGGATCAGGAATTGGGTTTTTAGTGTCCCACCAATAGCTGAACTTTTTAGTCTCCTTTATAAACCTGATTGTGTGGCTGTATAGCAATGTTTCCTCTAAAAAATTCTGATCTGATGTTATTTCATGTAGGATCAACAAAAGGAAATTGACTCAATGGTCACAATATGACTAACTGTGAAAAAGGTTTTTGATTTTACTTTGATGTTCCACAGATTTTACATTTTCAATCCATCTTTGGCCACTTATCTCTTGATCCATCTCAATTCTGTTTGTTTCCTTACTGGATTATCTTTATATTCTATCAGAGAGGCAAACTCGAGAGGATAACATGAATAAGCATTGAAATAACAAAATCACTTTCAACTCTTGTTTTCTAATCAACTAGAATGACTTAGAAACTTTTTTTTTACTTACTGTCATCATTTATTTACAAATTCTCTGATGGAAAAGAGTATAACTTATTCAGCAAGTTTAAAATAATTTAACAGAACTTACTCTTCCTGACAAACAAAATAGATAAAAATAGATGCCATCATTATTTATATTTTATATCTGAAACTGTAATGAAAAGATTAATGAAATTTACCATACTTTATCAGAGTTTTAAAGTTTAATGTTTACTGCAAAAAATTAGTTGAATTATCATACAGATATCTGCAATTATATTGATATAGTCTATGATGGTATCAGTTCTCTGATTTTAATCAGCATTTGCATTTGTGCATCAGTGGCTGCAACAATTTTCATATGACAGTTTCTTGTTTGCTAGTTTAAATAGTCAAGCAAGTGTCATTACAAAAAAGTCATCAAAACTCTTGATATTACTCTTTTTATTTTAATGCTAAGAGTTTAGTAACAGGAGAAGACTAAATTTATTTTGTGTTTTATATCTAAAATGACTTTCAATCTCCTATCAATATATTTATTAACATTCTTTCCTGAAAGATGTTATCTTTCATAGATAGAATTTTGGACTCTTATCAACATGGCTAATATCTTGATGTATGCTATTTTCTGTTCTTACTTAAAATGATTTTTATTTCCTTTTAGGTCATCCCCTAAGCACAGTAGTTGTTTGCAACGGAAACGTGAACTGAGAGATCAGCTAGAGAGCAAAATAGACACAGGATTAGACAGGTAAGAAATGCACACATTGAGTGAAAAATAGACACTGAACGTTTTGCTTGTGTTCAATAAATATATATTTTTGATAATTTTTCTATTCTTAAGGATGCGTATCTGAATACATCTCTACATGCAGTCTACAACTTTTGGAAGTGACAAAAAACAACTTTGACTTAAAACTGGTATTTTGTTTGCTGAATGCAATTGATCATGCATCGTGTCTTTATTGACTAACTTGAAGGGCATCAAAGCAACTGTCAGGAAATTATTATAGTTAATGTATATATTAAAACAAGGAAAAGACTGATTTGGCATTTGGCACTATATAGATTATTCAAAAATCAGTTTGCCATGAAAGCAAATAATCAGAATCAATGTTTCAAAAAATTTATTTTAAGGAAATAATTTAGCAGTATGTGATCTTTCTGTAAATGTTTCCTGATATCATTAAGGCCTACATATTGGGAGAAGGAACGCATTAAAAAAGTTAACCACCATGTAATAATTTCGATTTGATATTTCTTTCTTCAGATGAAATTCTGTAAATGGTGTTATAAATAACCTGAATGAAATAGAGAATTCAATAAACAGGTCTATAAATTGTTTTATGTGTGTGTGTGTGTAATATATATATATATACAGTAATTGTAAAGTAAATTTGCTCTGTTTATTGTGAATAAACATAGAACACTCTTTTATGAGTCAGTTTTAACATATTTCAAATTCTATGTTAACAGGACTCGCCTTGATTATACCAACGGATTACTTTATATATATATGTATATATATGTGTGTGTGTGTGTGTGTGTGCACATGTACAGTGTTGTATGTCATTAACAGCCATTTTGTTGATTATGATTCTATATTTTATAAAGTTTTAAAAGCAAAACCTAAATCTTTATTGGGTGTTTGGTTTTTATTTTTTCAACAAATTAAAAGTAAATGAAAATAAAACAAACACTTGAGGAAAGCCCGATAGCACAGTGGGGTTGAAACCATATAAGAAGAATGCAACAAAAGACAAGAGAATTATTCTAAATAAATCCAATACAATAAATAAGTGTCTAAAAATAGGTATCACAGATGAAAATTTCAAACAGGTATTGGGTGTTATCTGATTGCATCTTCTTAATCTACATGATTAAAGAAACTTAGCAGTTTTTATTTCATCAAAATATCTCCATCTAATTTTGGCAGATTTATTTTTATTTTTATACATGTACTCAACATAGCCATTTTTTGTCTATTATGAATTAGGACAAAATACCATATTTGGACTCCTATATTTTAAAAAGCAATTAAGAACAACAGTTAAAATTATACTAGCTTGTTAGGTGCATAAGAAAGAAATTAATAATAAAATTACAAATAGTATCACTGCATATTTCTTAAATAAATTCAGTCTGAATATGCAAATTTTATAAATCAAACCCTCTGCAACGACGTGCAAACAACTCATAACCTGAGGTTTGACATTTCATAAAACTGGAAATAAGACCCACATTCATCCCAAACTTCAAATATCACATTATGACTATACCAGTAACATGCCTAATTTTTGGGGGAGTGATAGAATGGATATATTCTGGATTATTCTGGAAGTACTGATACATGTTAGTTCCGATCACTACGTAAGCGGTATGAAATCACCAAATTGTCTCAATTTTTAAATTGTAATGTTCCTCTCACATTATGCACATAAAAATAAGCAACACATATTAATCAAATAAAGTTTATTTGGAAATTTTCAGTAATGGTGGGCTGAGTGTTGGGATACCTCTTCACTGAGTAGTTAAAAGTAAGTCTTGGCATACTCTTCATACAATCCCTCCAAATAATCTAATTCAGGCACTACCCAAGTTCTTCTAGTCTGCCTAGTATATCTTTGCTGGCATATCCAGTTTATATAGTTCAAGTATGAGCCTATTTGTTACTTCCTCGCATAAAAGCTTACGACCCAGCGTTGGATCCGACAAAACACTGAGAGTCAATCCGACACTCTCGCATCTTTCACCTATGAATCCAAAATTTGTTACCTCATGGTACAATGCAGGATGATCCGCTTTTGAGCAACTCTGAACTTCTGCTACAACTTTCTCAATAAGGTGTACCCATCTGTTCTTAGGAAAGATTGGGAACAATTTATGTAGTCAAGTAATAGCAGAATCCTAGGTTTCCTGATATTTCTCTTTCAATGAATATATTTGAAACAGCACCTTCTTTGAACATTTCACTTTAGGCAAAGACATCTTCTATGTCCTTTTGTCATAAAACAATGTTGTAACTGATTCTGTACATAGTCATCTTCAAAAAGAAAAAAAAATGAATTTATAATATGATCCTATCCCATGTTGTTGAAGTACTACTTAGTAGTCATCTACAAATTATTGTCTACGTTTTCTTACTGAATCTGAGTTTATTTGAAGTTCATAAAAAATTTGCACTAAATACAATCAGGGATAAATATAAATTTAGAGTCATCCATATACCTGAGTAACAAATAAGGAAGCACTAAAATATTTTCTCAACAAACCTATTTCCACAGTGGTCCTTAAAACTGACATATTAAAATATTTTAGAATAAAATAAACAATCTTAATCCATATGAAATAAATATTACTAAGAAATAATAATAAGTTAGGAAAATAAATATTAAATTATAAATTTGTATCTAGATAGCAATAAATCATAACTAAAATCCATTCATTAGATAATTTAAAAAGTAAGAAAATTGTTTGAAGGGGTAACTTTAAACAAAATGTTAATTGGTAACTGAAATGCTGATAATTATTGTGAGAATACTGCAAAAACATAAGACATTCTAGAATTTTTTGCATTTTTTTTTTTTGTAAAATGTTTTTTATCCCATTCTTTGAATATGAACATTTTTCGATCAATAAGTCCCACGTTTTTTTCGTGATTTGAATCTGAGTGTAAAGTAAACAAATCAATTTTTGTTTCATGTTTTTTATGATAAAAACGGTTTTTAAATCCCATTTACATTTTACATATCATAGAAAATTAATATTTAAAACAAATTCTTACTAATTTTTTTTGAAAATTTCATCCATAGAAAACATGCTGGTCGATTCTTGTGTGTCTGTGTTGACGCTGTGTATTGACTGTCGCGTGGAGTTGAAATGATGGCCAGGCAAGTTGCACATGATCACACATAATCGCACACGCGCAAAATGGAGCTATCGTTTCATATTTGATTTTGATTTAGTTTTATAGATTATTAAATGAGCCTTTTAATGATATTTTTTATGTGTTTTTATTTTTACGAGAAGCATTTGAATTTTACGATCAAACTTTCATTTGAATTGTTTACAAACTTCTTATTAAAATTGAAAAATATAAAATATATGAAAATGAAGCTTAGAATATTAACTTTCAAACTAACATATTACCAAAATTGTAATAAACCCTGCAGAGTGCGCATGTTACAAAATTTGAGGATGTCTAAACTGCCGTCAGTGAAAAAAATGGCCAAAATTTTGCAAAATCAGCAAAATGTCTCTATTTTTACACTGTAATGTTCCTCACACACTGTAGTACATATAAAAATAAATAAGATTGAAACAATGTTCATGAAATAAGCTTTTATTTGGTATGTATTATATTTTTATGGAGATAATGAATGAAATAACACGGCGAGTTGAATATATGCCTTTTTTTGGTGTTTAGTTAAGAATTTCATTGGTTGTAAGCTGAGTGCTAGGATACCTACTAAAAACATTCAGCCAAAAATGTATGGTGTTTTTTGTTTCTTTTTCACAGATCTATATCTGCCATTATTGGTTCCATCCGTCATATTTTAGCCACTGAACAAAAGAAGTCAGACTTCAAGCTTGATGCTGATGCCAACATGCAACTGCGTTCAGAGGTTAGTTTTGTCCAAACCAGTAAATGTTTTTAAGTGTTTTTATCTGTTTTGTCACCTTTACTCAGATCTTCTTTCTTTTAAATTCTATATAACCTGTGTCAGTTTTAAGGCTTTCAGAATATTTTGTTTTTTTTCCTTACTACCATATATTTTAACTTTACAATTAAAAATGTTTTCACATTTGAAAGCCTGCAACTTCCAGTAAGGAAACTAGATAGTAAGTCAATTCATGTATGAAGGCTCTTCACAAGTATAAATGTTTGATGAAGCCCAGTTACATGGCATATCGAATAAGCTACCAACATCCAACGTTCTAGCCCATTCACAAATAAACTGGGATAAGTCAGTAAACACTTTGTTATGCCATGAAAAGCTGGTACTAATCAAAGATTTTCTTTGTCATTGGGTAAATTTGTCACTTCAGCCATAGACATCCTGTCTAATAAAGAAAAAAATGAATCCAATTTGTAAGCTTCTTTAAAAATATCTGCCACATCTCAAAAAGTAGAATCCGTAATTTTAAATATTAAACAATATCTTGACATCTGAGATAGCATGTCATCATAATTAAAAAATTTGCATCATTTACTCTTGGCTTTCTGTATTTTGCAAAACTGCACTTCATTCTCAGTTCATTTATTGTGCAAATCAAACCATAAAACTAATGATATTCAAAATTCAGTTCCTTTTTCTTACAATATAAAGGAGTTTAAAAGCAGCCAATTCTGTTACCTGTTCCCAAATTTTTATGAAGTGGAGTTAATAATATTAGAAAAACTGCTCAGTATCAATGAAAATTAATTATACCTTTATTTCTTCTTTCTGAGGAACATATCTTCATTGTTATCATCTTTAGGCTTGTGCAAAGACTGTCACTTTTCTGAAGTCCCAGGTTGATAATATCCGACGTAGCCTTGACGGAAAGAATGTTGATGTCGTGCTCACTGAACTTGGAACCCGATTCCATCGTCTCATCTTTGAACATTTCCAACAATATCAATACAATTCTCTGGGTAAGTTCAACAGGAACATTCTGCTTTCAACCACTGATTCTGGAATGACTGTTTCTCTTTTATAGATGAAATACTTATGTAACAATATCTTTGGGTATATGGGGGGGGGAGTTCTTGGTCCTGCCAAATTCTGATACTTGGTCATTTGTTCACATTTGAGGAGTTGGGGCAAGCTGAGAAATTTTCAGCACCCTCATAATTTTTCCTTAAATGAAAATAAAAAGGACAATTTGATGCTAACTTCATTGAGCCATTTTCTTCTACTCTATTCTGCCATTTCAGAGAATTTTTAATTTTTTTCATTAAGAGACTCCTATAAAAATTAATAATAATAATAATCTAAAGATGTGATAATGAGTGAAATGGTGAATGGGTGAAAACTTTTTGTCAAGTCAGTAAATTAACGTGTTATCCTGATTGAATTTTAAACCCTTTATGTTAATTAAGGACAAATACTTCAATTTTGGCTTTCAGTTGAACTAATTAGGAGCAATGCTTATTTGACACAATTATTTGTCTCTGTGGAAAGTATTCCTTTCTACCAATAAAAGTGAGGTACTGTATTAAATGCTAAAATGCATTTTTTTTTTCTGAAAAATGCCCTCAAAAATGCCCTTAGTGCTGAAAGGTCACATAGGGAGAAGTTTTCCAACCCTCAGAAATCCCAGTCGCAAGATTAAAAAAAAAACACAAATCCCAGATGACCCAAAGATGGGAAATACGAAAGGTATATAGCGGAAAAAGAAGTGTCATCTGCTAGTGTTTTTGTCACCCGGGCTGGTGACACTTGAAATAATTTATTTATTCATTTATTTATTTTTCAAATAAAACTGGGGATATGTTTTAAAAAAAAAAAAAAGACATTAGTTGTACTTCTTTTTTTTTCAAAATCAGGAAAACTTTTTATAATATTAAAAAAAAAAGATAACTTGCTTTTGTTGTTTATCTTTTTAATATTTTTGAATTTATAAAAGAAAAGTAACAATCTTTATAGAGGTATAAAAAAAACTAAGCCTATGATAAGATAAAAAAAACAATTGGTTCACTTATTGTAAGTGATCTGGGATTGCAAACGAAATGTTTGTCGCAGATTATTTCCACGTCACAAAGAATAAATCACTAAGTTCAGAATCGAACATCGGGGACAGAAAGAAAATGCCGAAAACTCGATTCACAAGCACTATTTGACAAATCCCAATGCACGCTACCAGTCAGAAAAATAACTCACTCTCCAACAGCTGTGGCAGCCAAAATCACCAGCTTTTTCTTCTCCCCGATTCGAGAACACCAACTGCTTTTATTGGCCGAACATTTTTTCCATTCATTGACAGCTGGGAGAGGATGTTCAGTATAAATACTTTTATAGTGACTCCTGCGACAGACTTGTTATTTAATTCAAATATTCCATCTTCAGCATGTCATGCAGAATACGTGCCCTTTTGTATGGTAAGTAATTTTCTTTTTCACCACATTTTCCATCATAGAATACACGTGACGTGCTGTCGCTTGGTTTGACGAGGTAAGTCACTGTTTTCTTCACTATACTCTCCTCTGATCTCACTATCACAAATCAAACAGCCTAGAGTAGCTCTCTTTATCCTGGTGCTTCATTGTAATGGCACTATTTCCCGAACGCATGTCGGAGAGTCGTCTCCAGAGGAGTCATCATACGTATCTCAAGTTTCCAGAAGTTCTGTCTGTGGAAGCATCAGATTCGTGGATCTCAATTATCTGCTCACTGTCAGACAATGAATCATCATCGGATTCGCTCGGCGATGTATCAAAATCAACGAAAAGGCGAAGATCTTTTACATGGTGTGGCATCCCGTCAACTAGTATTGTTTGCCGACTTACAATGTCCGTCACGCAACCCACCTGATACCTGGAGGTACACTGGCCATGAGGAGCTTTCACCTATACTCTGTTTCCAACTTTGTATATATCGTGATACTTACAGCGATCAGGTGGTAATGTTGTAGTAATTCCCTTTACATTCAGTTGGTAATGGTGAATCATATTGGCAGACACATTAGTCGATGATAAATTGATATGTTGAGCGTCCTTCACAGGTCGCAGCCAACATGCATCTTCTACAATGCTTCCGTCAACCTCCAACGAAACAGTCATTCTGGCGTATTCTTTCCGCTATGTTCTCAATCACGTTCTTAAGGGGAGCATCTGTCACTTCGTCGTCCCAACCAGCAACACAAAGCCATCCACACACAGGAACTTGACCCACCAGTTTTCCATACCACGAGAAGACGTTATGTCATGTCAGGACCTCAGGAATGCCATTTTCACGTGTCCACTTAAGCGTGTTGTTATCTTCCACAACATGCAAACCCAGCGCACATGTGCCGTCCCATAACCGCTCCAGATCCTTACAGGTCAAACCAAACGCAGCCAAGTGCTCTTTCACATGAGCTGCTAAAATCATGCTCTCGTCAACATAAATGTCCTCAATATATGATGAGGTTGCCCGTCGAACTGACTCATCTTTCGCCAACACGGCGTCCACAATGGCCTTCATTATGGCTGGTGCAACATTCACCCTGAAACCCATTTGGGTCAAGCAATATCTTTACCCCTTGAAGATTACAGTTTGAAAGGGCCAAAGTGACTTGTGGATATGTACTTGTAAATAGGCCTGCCGTAGGTCAAGGATAGCGACATCTGGTCCTTTTTTATGGTACTTCCTCAGTTTCTGTGCACCGAGACACTCATTCAGCTCTTGATAGTCTAATACTGTTCGCAGTTTATTTTTATTTTTCTGCACCACTGCCATCAACGGAATTAAACCTTTTGGAGGACTGAGTTCCTTATCAGGTTAAGGCTGCAACCTACCGTTATCAAGCCAGGTCTGCAGCTCACGGTCATATTCCTCCTTGACTCTTGTTGGTATTGGGTACTCGGGCATCCGATTTTTCAAACTCTCCAGTGATCAACCATCAGACCACTTCCATGATGCGACCCCTATCTTCCACTTTGGGTCAAATTTGGCACAGAAATCTGGTTCTATTTTAATAATGGTGTAACAGACTATCCCATGCTTGGGAAACCGTACATCGCCACACTGTGTTATTTGGAGTCCGCCCAATTTTTTAATGGCATCAAATCCAAGCAACAAGTCAAAACCCAGTAGCTCTCCATCCACTATCAAGACATCGATTTTGAGGGGGTTTGCGTTGTCCACGTCAAGCTTAATACTTTCAACTCAGCAACATTTGAGAGTATTCCCGTTTACGGTGAGTACGTTCACCTCCGTCACACGCCAGGATTGACAGGCTGACTTACTCACGAGTGTCTGTGAGCAGCTAGTGTCCACCAGTGCCACTCTCTTAATTCCGTTCACGTAAATACCCAAGACAGCGCTTCATTCATAACTCGCTTATGGAAGAGACTGGCGCTGACGTCTCGTCCCCTTCTTTTCCCTAAACACAATGAAGCAATGTGGCCTACTTCTTGACACTGGAAGCAACACATTGTTGTGCATGACCCGCATGGCTGATGGGCATCTTCTCGTCGAACTGGGCAGTCCCAGGCAAGGTGATTCCACCCAGAGCATCGATAACATCACATACTCTCCCAACGTTTAACATTTGGATGTTTATCAGCTTCGCCTGGTGAAATGGTAGCCACAACCATTTCCTCAGTTGCAATTTGATCTTTCATTATGGCCTGAGCCCAGTCCAACAGTTGGTTTGTATTCATGTCTTCCATCCTGAAAGATGCATGCAGTAGTTGCTTGACGTGCGCTGGTAACCCTGCTATAAACCCACATGCTAATCCTTGCTCCGATATCCCGCCAAATACACCTGCTAGCTTCTTCAAGTCGGCTAGAAACACATCGACGAACTCGTCTGGGCGCAGTTGGCGTTCCGCAAATTGCTCGTATGCCAAGAAACAATCCGGTGCAAAGGCAATCTTCAGGGCTCGTTTTAACTGCTCGACATCTGATTTTTGTTCCGAGTTTAACTGCTGGTAAACAGCAAATGCTCCGCCCGTCAACCTCAGAGGAAGAACACGTTCAACCTTTTTCCACACAGGTCACAAACAAGTTCTGCCTTCTCAATCCATTTAGTAACTGTTTGTCCAGTCACTGAACCATCAAACTCTGGTATCAACTTGACGTCAAATGTCTTGTTCGTCATAGTGCCGAAATAGCTTGTAAGTGATCTGGGATTGCAAAGGAAATGTTTGTCGCAGATTATTTCCACGTCACAAAGAATAAATCAGGGACAGAAAGAAAATGCCGAAAACTCGATTTGCAAGCACTATTTCACAAATCCCAATACATGCCACCAGTCAGAAAAATAACTTGCTCTCCAACAGCCATGGCAGCCAAAATCGCCGACTTTTTTCTTCTCCCCAATTCAAGAACACCAACTGCTTTTATCTGCCAAACATTTTTTCCATTCGTCGACAGCTGGGAGAGGATGTTCAGTAGTGTGCATATCAAAATACTTTTATAGCAACTCCTGCGACAGACTTATTTTTTAATTCAAATATTCCATCTTCAGCATGTCATGCAGAATACATGCCCTTTTATTTGGTAAGTAATTTTCTTTTTCGCCACATTTTCCATCTTAGAATACATGTGACATGTTGTTGCTTGGTTTGATGAGGTAAGTCGCCGTTTTCTTCGCTATACTTATTTATTTAAAGACAAAGACACGAAAAATCAAAACAAAAAGTCTGGACTTTCTCATTATGTAGGTGTAAAAAAAAAAAAAAATCCTCTACTAATGTGTGGGATTTTTATTTTTTTTTTTATTGGATCCTTGGTCCCAAAAATTAAGTGGGGCCAAGGATCCAATTTTTTTTCACATCTTTAACTGACACCAAACTTTCTCACATAGTGATAAAAAAATAAGCTGCACCAAGCCCTAAAAATGTTCATCACCTACTTGTTAAGTGGATGGGGTTTATCGCCACCAGCTAATGATGACAGCTTATCGTTTTTGGAGATAATTTTTTTCACTGTTTGGGAGCCATGTCAA